TTTTTTTTTTTTTTTTTTTTTCACTCTTGATTTTACCATTCTCCTCGGAAATGAGAAATTTCACCGGGGTAATTAGGAAGATGGGTTAGCAAGAAATAAATTATCATCAACTCTTAAGAAAACTACTTACAATTTGACTTAACCTGTTGAGCTTCCCTCTTGTCCAAGCATTCCTCGCTTGTAACGGAAGCTCTTTATCTTAAAAGAAAGAAGAAACAAGAAAGACACGGCTCACCAAACGTAACATGCCATTGAAAAGGTCCGACATAGCCCCTTTATTTGAAAAAGGATATACAGATAAGGAAGAAATAGTTTCCAGGCTAATCCTTAGCTAAAACTAAATACGTCAACATAGAGCGGTTTTCAATTGAGCGTCGCAATTAATATCAAAACCAAAGCATTCTGCCCAGCCAGTCACAAATTACACGAACAATCCAGTGAACCACTCAAAACTCGAAATAAATACCTGAAGCTCACATGAAGCGCTGGAAAACGTGTGAGCACGACTCACTATTGGTTTTGGTTTTACATCTGATTAAATGAAAAAATGGCAGGAGTTTTTTTAAGCCAATGGTGATCCAAAGTAATGCCAATTACTTTTCGACTCTCAAGTAAAAACAGCTGTCCCTCATGATTAAAACCTGGAAGTACACTCGCGCAAGTAGTCGAAATAAATGATATCAGAATCTTTTACTTGTAGGACAACCGGATGCTTTTGAAGTACGCGCAATCGATAAAGAGAGTCAAGAGACAAGAGGCTTTTTGAAGCCGCGAGAGCCCTGTGATCGAAGCTGCTACAGTAACTGTATGAGAGAAGTTATGAGAGGCCATTCAAGCGGAACCTGCTCCCATTGTGGTTCAGACTGCAGTTAATTAGCCGTCTCTCAAGAACTGTGAGTGTCGTAACATGCATAATCATTTTAGAAAGTCGAGTGCAGTAAGATTTTACTATCAGAAAAGTCAAGCTATTTTGCGTGGATACACCATTGAAAAGATCTGCCCTTTTGTTCTCTGTGTATCAATAAACGTAACCCTATGTTGTTCTCAACAGCCTTGATTATGTAAAAAATAGATTGCAATATTTTTTGGTGTTTTATTTGAAGCAAGATCAGAGCATTAACTGAAATATAAGCTCGAACCATAAGTAGATTTGTGAAAATTGGAAATGATTCTTCTGTCTTCCGTCGAACATCGTTATGAGATAAATACGAGTAAAAGGTCTCTCTTTGTGGGATAAGTCCTTTTTATATTCCTTGAAAATCTACTAAGATTGAAAATGATTATTCTACTTACTCTTAGCCAATCATAACGGAGTAATTTTCTGTCCTATCTTAAATACAGGAACAAGCTTTCTCTAGTTTGCAAAGCGAAAGTTCTTTTAAATCCTCTTCAATTAGTTATTGTAGGGGCAATGACTAATTCACTACTGGTAATTGATAGCACAGGGCAAGGAAAAGGAAAGCCAGAATAGAGAAATTCCGATTATAACAAACTTTATATCAAAATTGAAATTCTCCTCACAAGTCTGCTTATATTCTATAGCGCACTAGTTGAAATAATTGGACTATCGGTTTCTTTGTTCTTAAGATCGGTAGAACTGCGCTGATTCTCTAAGGAGAAATGAGATGCTGCTCAGGGCTGTCACGACTACATTTGAACACTAATGATTGGCAACCATGAAAGACTAATGAGTGGTTTATATCTTTTTTCAGGCGCATGCGCAAGAGACACAGATCCTTCAGCGTGGAGTGATTTGTTCTTGAAGTGTGAACCCGACCTTATATGAA